CTCACCTCAGCCTCCCAAAGGTGCGGGATTACAGGCTGAGCCACCGAGCCTGGCTGAGGTATGTTTTAAATTTAACATTGTACTATAAGCTATACAGTCTTACAGTATTTTTAGATAAAAAAGAAGAAGAAAAGCTAAAATTTGAGATCTGGCAGTGTAATAGATTAATACTAAAATCACAGTTTATGAGAGTTGCCATATGCATAATAACCTATGTTCATCATTGCTATTTCCTATTGAATTTTAAGTAAGCTTTACACAATTGTTAACACTAGGTTTCATTCACATAGGCACAGCTTTTGGTTTTTCCAGGAAGTAAAGCCCTCACCTCAAGAGGCAGGGTGACAGTGGTAGCAACTGGCCCACATCATGCAGTCTCCCACTGGGTGGGCCATGGCGGTTAACGCCTTTTCGAGGCTGCAGCCCCACCAGATGATAGATTCATGGGGAACGATGTACTCTGCTGTGGTTTGAGAATGAGTACTAAATTTGTCTTCCTTTTCTAGTGAGGACACCGAAACCGTATCAAACAGCAGTGAGGGTCGGGCCTCCCCTCACGATGTCTTGGAGACCATCTTTGTTCGAAAAGTGGGGGCTTTTGTCAACAAACCCATCAACCAGGTGATTCTTCTGTCACTGCCATCTGTGAGAACGTCTGAGTCGTTATATTGAGGCCCTGTGGGCAGCATTCTTAACTTGAGGTCTATGGAACTACCAAATGGGCATGCCAAATTCTTTGTGTGTGTGTGTGTGTGTGTGTGTGTGTGTGTGTGTTTCTGTGTAGAGGATTAATATCCAGTGCCACTCCTCCACAACAAATTAAGAACTACTGTTCTGTGACCCTTTAAGCCTCCCATAGGAGAGGGAGACTAGACACCATTTCACACAAAAACACTGCACTGTGTCATTGCCTTGGCTTTACTTGAACTAGGCAGTTCTTCCTCCACAGGGCCAGTTAAGTGTGCTGTTACTGACTTATTGTGGATCAAGCTTCCCAGGATGCTCTGGAGCCAAGCCCTTGTTCATGCCGTGGGCGTATGTGTTGCGGGGGTGAAGAGGCAGGAGAGCCTGGGGGCTCTCTAACAAGAGAGGAGCCTGAGGGGGCAGCGTGGTCCACCTAGGTGTACGAATTTGCCGGACCTCCAGGCTTCTAGCAGGCTGGGGGAGGGGCAGGCATGAAGGCTTTTCTCCTGTCTCTCTTCAGGTGACCCTAACAAGTTTGGATATACCCTTTGCCATGTTTGCTCCCAAGAATTTGGAGCTAGAGGATGCCGATCCCATGGTGAGCCTCCTGTTGACTCCTAGTTTCCATTAGATGGTGCAGTCATCATCGTCCTTCCTGGCCAGGGTTACTACATCCTCTACAGACATAAGCCACACCCCTTGGCTTATAGATTTGTAGCCAGCATGAAGTTCCTCCCTAGATCCTTGGATTGTTAACAGTAACTTGCATCCATGTCACAGAATCAGTCCCTAACCCTGCCTTACTCTGAAACAGGTGAACCCTCCAGGTTCCCCAGAGACCGAATCTCCTCTCCAAGGCAGCCTGCACTCAGATGGCTCCAGTGGGGGCAGCAGTGGCAATACCCACGATGACTTCGTTATGATCGACTTCGTAAGTTGCCATCACCTTCCTTGACCTTTGCTGCCCCATGGAAATAAACCTCAAAGCAGCTACTGCGCTTGAACTAGAATTTCTTCATGGGGATCAGATGGGCTATCGCAGACCGAAGGGATAGGACAGGTGGATCCCTGACTAGGAGACATTTAGAGGCCTGTGAACAATCAGGTGTTTTGTACCATATCTTTGGTTGAAATTCATAATGAAATTCAACTCTAAATGAAGATTTTTAGGTGTATCCACTAGGTTCTGTATCCATGCCTGAATGCAGAGCCCTTTGCATAAGAAAGGAGTTTGAAGGAAGAAGACATAAACCTAATGGGGGAGAGGAAGATTATCACCAGGATTAGAAGTGATCAGCCTAGAAGAAAAAGGTGTAAGATTCCTCCTTCCAAGGATAAGCCTAGAGGAATCTTTCCTTTGATAATTGCTGGAAGCAAAGAGGCTTGTCCGCAGCCTATCTCCTCTGTGATTTTCCTCCGTGGTTCAAGGTAAGCTAAACTGAGTCTCTTGTCTTTGAAGAAACCAGCTTTTTCTAAAGACGACATTCTTCCAATGGACTTGGGGACCTTCTATCGTGAGTTTCAGAACCCTCCTCAGCTGAGCAGCCTCTCCATAGATATTGGAGCACAGTCCATGGCTGAAGACTTGGTATGAAAACTCCTTCCTTTACAACACATCCTCTCTGACCTCCCATCATCCGGTTACTCTTCTCTGCCTCCATACCTGCCATGCCATCTTCCCTGTGTCAGGAAAGAGACATTTTTAGACCATTACCATTACCTTTCTTTTTTTTTTTTTTTTTTTGAGTCGGAGTCTCACTCTGCCTCCCAGGCTGGAGTGCAGTGGTATGATCCTGGCTCATTGCAGCCTGGACCTTCTGGGATCAGATGTTCCTTCCACCTCAGCATCCCGAGTTCTGGGACTACAGGCATTGCGCCACTATGCCCAGCTAAATTTTTTAATTTATTGTAGAGATGAGGCCTCACTATGCTGCCCAGGCTGGTCTGGAACTCCTGGGCTCAAGCAATCTGCCAAAGTACTGGGATTGTAGGTGGGAGCCACTGCACCAGCCATTGCCATCTTTTGATCACACTTGAGATTTGCATTGTGCCTGGCAGTCACGATCTAGAATTTGCTTGCACTCAGTTCCTCCTTTGTCTGCACATTCTCAGCATTGTGTACACGCCGCTGTTGTTCTGTGCCTGATGTCTTCCACTTCCAGCAGCTGCTGCATTCAGCTATTTAGCTTTCCAGGCAGATGCCAGTGGTACTGGGAGAGGAGAATGGAAAGTCAAGCGTTGGTGTGCTTGGTTTCCTCAGAGAGCTCATTCCTTCATCTAGTGGTTCTCACTTTCGGCCGCTTGTCCTGATACTGACCATCATTACCACATCTCTGCTCAGGGCATTTCCTGTGCCTGCCTCTGAAGGGCAGAAGAGTGCCCTGCACAAGCCACAGACTGTGGATGCCCTATGCCATGAGATATTAGGGTCCCTCTTTCTAAGGTGGGCCTGTCCCCTCCTATGCAGACATTAGAGATCCTAGGAATAGCGGCCCTTGATTTGCTTTAAACAGAAAAGCATGCTCAGTAGTTTTTTATTATTATTTTAATAACAATTTTATTTATTATTATATAAATAAATGAAATTAAAATAATTTTATTATTAACATTTATGCAAGCATTCTAAGTGCCAGGCATTTTTCCAAGTGCCTTACAAGAATTTTCAATGGCCCTAAAAGGCAGGTTTTCTTCTTATCTCAGTTTACAGATGAGAAAACTGACATTGACTGATGGGCTTTCACATACAACCAGGCAAAACATCTTTGATCCTGGAAGCTCTGGATTCTGACCTTGGCCTTTTAACCACCAACTCCTCTGCTTCTCATGGCATGCACTGGGAAGAAAACAGGGTTTCTCCCAGTGTGATGCCACAGCTGGTCCTGGCTAGTTCCGAGGCTTCCCCAACCCAGGCAGTGGCATCCACACCAGCCTTGGGTGTCGGTGTGTCCGGGCTGCTTTATGACTGCTGAGGCAGGAGAGTCTCCAGCCTCTCCTTTGTGCTTAACCCCCGACGTCAGGAAATCCTCCCGTGATAGTTAAACTCTGCAGACACAGCTGACATGTCTCAGTCATCAGTGGAGACAGACCACCTGCTTAGTATTGAATCTTTGTTGGTGGTTGATAGTCTAGGATCGTTAACCTCATGCTTCTGCTTTCATCTGCATCTCTCTCTTTTTTTTACCATTCTCTCTCAATCCCCTCAAATCCATCCCCTCCTCAACTAGCAAAAGTCTGTAGATTCTTAGGCCCCGCCACAGACCTGCTGAGTCAAAATTTCCTGGAAGTGTAAGGGACTGCCTCATTGGTGTCCCCCAGGGATTCTGATGCCCAGCAGAGGACGTGAAGAAATCTCTCATAAACTTTTCTAATCTGTAGTGCTATGTGCTTGCTGTTTGATTCAAGTATCAGTCTGATCTCTGCCAAGGCTATTTCCTGTTTAATTTCTATGCCATCTCATTCCTGTGGTCCTCTTCTCTCTCATGGAGTGTGTGGGCCACTTGGATTCCCAAGCTGTTCCGCAAACTCTCCAGGCCCTGGGAAGCCCTGAGAGGTGTGCCCTTCCCCCACCCTGCATGTGCTCAGCTGCCCATGTTGCTTATCTGAGCTGTGTCTCTCTCCCTTTCTCAACTTGGGTCTGGGCTGACTGTCTCTTCAAGGATTCGGGGTCTCACTCCGCCACGCAAGCCAGAGTGCAGTGGCATGATCATGGCTCACCACAGCCTCGATCCTTCCTCAGCCTCCTGAGTAGCTGGGACTCCCAGCATGCACTGCCACCATGCCCGGTTAATTTTTTGATTTTTTTCTTCGAGGCCTTGCTTCTGGTAAGCAGCTCTTCCTTCTTTTCGGTACAGGACTCGTTACCAGAGAAGCTGGCTGTGCACGAGAAGAATGTCCGAGAATTTGATGCCTTTGTAGAAACCCTGCAGTAAAAGTTTCCTGAGTACCAGCAGCATCCCCTTTTTGTGGCCCCAGGAGACAGAGAGCCTCCCACGCACCAGCTGCTCCCATCCCTCATCCTGCTCCAAACCAGGTGGACAGGAGGACGGTTTCCCCATGAGGACCTGGAAGTCCTTGCTCCTGGACTTCCTGGTGACTCCATGGCGGCAGTCAAGCCCAGCACAGCATTTGAGAGGACTCACCCGTGGCCTTGGAGATGGAAAGACCTTTGCACAAGAAGGCCCTCAGCAGGGCCATCTGCGTCCCTGCCCGTCATCAACTGCTTTACAAAGGTGTCATCCTGTTCCTCCTGCCGCCAGCTCCTGCCTGGGCCTGCCCTACAGCTGACCTCTTGCCTGCCCGTCGTTACCATCAACCATTTGACATTCCAGCTGGTGGCTCAACAACTGGTGCGGAGGCAGAAAGAGGAAGGAGACAGTGCTGGGAGGGAGAAGGGAGGGGTCCTGTTTTACTCTCCATCGTCCTCTCTGCTTCCTGCTGGCTTCTTCTTCCTTCCCTCCCTCTCTCTGCCCCTGGGTCTGTACTTCTGGCAATATGACAGGCCTGCCTTTCCCATTCCCAGAGGCTGGGAGGGTACGAGCAGCCCTGGAGGCTGCCTGTGCCCAGCTCCTTAGCTGCACAGGAAGTAACAGCAGAATCCTGTCTCTGGTATTCTGTCCCTGGGAGTCACAGCAAAAGTCCTCTTTTCTCTCCTCCCCTCATTGCTGCTCCTTGGTTATAGAACACGGTAAATATTTATTACTCTCAGAGAAATCAGATATTTTATAGAGAAAATACGTTTGAGGTTAGATGTTTTCATGTGGGGAAGGTGGAGGGCCTCTTTCTGGGCCAGAGGTCCCCTCCTGGGGAGGGTCTTGAGTCCAGGTTGCTGCTCTGAGGATCTCCCTACCCACTATATATAAGGCGGGATCCAAGAATAGGGCTGCTGAGGGCGAAGAAACCTCCCAGAATCGCTGCGTTTGAACCAACGACAGGCTATCCACTTGTGTGTTCCTGGTGACGCCTAAACTTCCCAGTTCTGCAGAGTGACTGACTCTATTCTGGCAGCCCAGGAAGCCTTGGGTGCTAATGTGTGGTGAACACAGGTGGTGCCCAGGGGACATTGTGTGTGTTTCCTGCTGCTGGGACACTTGTTTCTGATCCTTGGGGCGGGAGCATGGAACTTCTCCTGCTTGGGCCTGGCCACCCCCTCCCTTTCATCCCAGGTCTGTTCACTGCCCTGGGGTTGACAAGCTGGATGGGCTCTTTGTTGAGAAACCAAAGCTGGGCCTGCGATTGACTTAACCCTTCAGGTATTGTTGCTTGCATAAGTCAAGTGCCTAGCCTCACCCACCTACCATCTGTCCTCTCCCAGCCTCGCTGTTGGCCATGGCCAAGGAGAGCTAGGCCTGCTGATTCCTCCTGTCCCATCTGGGTACTTATTGGCAGCAGCTGGGCTTCAGCAAGCAGGTGGCTCCCAATTGCTTGTTAGTAAACCGCATGTGACACTGTTCCCACCTACAAGGCTGACCTCTAAGGCTTGGAAGCGGGTGCGGGAGGGGAGCCCTGGCCCTGTGCATGTGTCTGTTGCCACAAAGAAATATTGCCAGTGGTGGTGGCCAGCTGGTTCTCCCGTCTTGGGACCAGAGCACATGTGTGGCCTGCTGAACCAGAGTGACCCTTCAGGTCTGTGCACTGAAATGGAGAAGGCCCCTGGTAAGTTATTGCTGCCCTGTGTCTCAGCCGCTGCCCACTTTCCAAGGTCTTGCATGGAAAGGCCTGTTAGCCTCATCTGAGACTCCCTTACGGTTGGCCCCTGTAGACAGAAGCCTTTTTCACCAGGGCCCATCTGTAAAGAGGCCAGGGAGGCACAGCCTTGACTTTGAGCTGAGCCTGGGAGGAGCAAAGCAACTGTCAAGGCCGGCCCTTGCCTCCCAGCCCCGAACCATAACGGTGTGAGCCCTAGACTGACTCCTGCAGCACCCTGGGGACAGGTGGGACCAGCCATCTCTCCAGGTGGCAGAGTCCCTCCTTCAATCTACTTTGTTTGGAAATACGCAACTATACTTCCAAATGTATTCAAGAGATTTCTAATAAAATTTTTTTGTGTACTTTATGGCCTCCTGTCCTGCAAGTTGTCTGGAAACCCAGCCTCCTCTCCCCACCCGTGACCGAGGAGAGTGAGGTGTTGTGACTCGCAGAAGGGCTTCATGTTGGCCAGGGCTGTGGAGAGGGGCTTGGCCGTTTGCAGGCTGTGCAGCCTGGGGCTGGTCAGGGAGCATCTGGAGCCTCGCTGTCCCTCGTGTGCAGGGTCCCTCATGTGCAGGGTCGGGCTTATATTTACATATTCAGTAGGAGAATGTGTGTGAAGTACTCCCATAGTCAAATCTCCACAGAATGTAGGCCATTGTCACCAGCTCTGTATTGCCCCTTACATAACAGCACTGCCACTCAGCCTAGAGGAGTGGCTCAGAGGGACAGAGGACAACAACGGGCTGCCTGGAGCGTGGGGTGTGGGGCTCTAAGCTGTCGGGATGGGTGAGGCTGAGCAAAGCTGCTGCCTGAGGTAGCAGGAAGACAAGGGCCCTGCAAGCTTGTCAGCTGCCTGCCCTGATCCGACAATGGCTCCTTGCAAGGGCCCTGCGGTGTCTCTGAAGAGCCAGGAAAAGTCGAGAGTCCTGGAGGGATGAGTCCTGACTGGCCCCCGGGGGCTGTGGCTGCAGGCATCTCAACTGTGCCAAGGCCAGACCCAGACTCCTAGTTTGGGGAGGGGAGTAGGGGGGATGTAGAGATGGTTCTAGAGGCAAAAAAGACTGACAGACACTGGCAACTGCTGCCTGGGTTGCTGTGTCCAAGGATAACAAGGGCTGGCTAGAAAATTCTACATTCAGCCCAAGCCTAGGGCCCAGGAGCCCTGGCTTGTCAGCAAACAGTATGTGTCACTGACCATGTAGCCAACCAGGAAAGCTGCCCGACCCCCAAGTCAAAAATGGTAAAACGACTGTCCCTGGTGTTCCTCCTTCAATTGGGATTCCCCAAAAGCAAAATGCTTAGTTATCAATAACCAGCAGTGGCATCCTTTAAAGCATCTCCCTGCACTCCACTCCCACAGCCGCGTTGCTAAGGCCTTGGTAAACTGGCATTTGAATCACTCAGCTGAGGCTCTGCCAGGAGCCCAACCCAAGTAAACAGCTCCCTGGTCTCCGATCCCCTCTCCTCTTTCCCTAGGTCACTGCCTTTTTGTTCCAGGCACCCAACTACAGCTGAGCAGATCGGGGGAGAGAGAGGAGGCCGCCAGCGCCTTCTGCTTCCTGGAGCACCAGGGCCAGTGTTTACAGTCACCACCATCTTTAACACTGCTTGACCTCTCAGCTCTTGCCTGACTCCCCCAACCCAAGGCACGCAAGGAGGAGAAAAAACAGGCTCAACCAGGGCCACTATAGCCACCTGACTGCAGTCAGTAGGCAAGCAGCAAGCACCTGGAACTTGACCTTGACCACTGTGCCAGGTGAAATTTTGTCCTCCTACCCGATCACAGACAAATCATTTTTAAAAAATTCTGACCAGGCGCGGTGACTCACACCTGTAATCCCAACACTTTGAGAGGCGGAGGCAAGAGGATTGTGGAGTCCAGTGGTTTAAGATCAGCCTGGGCAACTTGACGAGGCCTCATCTCTACAATAGATAAATAAATAATTAGCCAGGTGTAGTGGTGAATGCCTGTAGTTTCAGCTACTTGAAAGGCTGAGGTAGAAGGATTGCCTGAGTCCAGCAGGTTGAGGCTGCGGTGGCCATGAGCATGCCACTGCACTCCAGCCTGGGTAAGAGTGAGACGCCAACTCAAAAAAAATATTCTGGTAAAATGCACATGCAAAATCTACCATCTTAACCAATAAAGCTAAGCAAAACCTGCTCAGTGTAGGAAAGGAAAACAGGGTCTGTCACAGCCTCCATGTGATGAGGCGGCAACGGCGGGTGGGCAGGAGTGGTCAGGAGCTGAGGAGTCCCCTCTGGCTGCTGCATGAGGTTGGGCCCACCACCTCATCCACCGTGAACTGCGGTCATTCGCTACAAGGAGCAGTACTGTGTTTGCTGTCTACATTGTTTCTGATTCTCAGAGGAGCTGATACCTGGTAAGAAAGAGTTGCGGAGGTGGGGCCCATGACGTGACTGTCAGCAGTTGTAGCTGGTGAGGGACAGAACAGAATGAGGATTCAAACCCTAGTGTGACCCCAAAGCCCACACTGTTGTCTGCCACATCCATACCATCTTTTTCTCTCTTCCCTTAGATACAACTAAGGTCGCTTCAAGCTTCCAGTACCTTCCTGTTAGGAGCAGAAGAGGCCCTGGTCTTAGGATACAGCACGTGGTGGCCAGCCGGAGGTGCAGACAGGGAAGGTGACTGTTGACACTTTCACGCTTAGAAGTTGGTCAGCCTGGGTGTGGTGGCTCACGCCTATAACCCCAGCACTTTGGGAGGCCGGGGTGAGAGGGTTACCTGAGCCCGCGGGTTCAAGGCTAGCCTGGGCAACTTGGCGAGACCTTTTCTCTACAATAAATCAAAGTTAGCTGGGCATGGTGGTGTGTACCTGTAGTTCCAACTACTTGAAAGGCAGAGGCAGAAGGATCACCTGAGCCCAGCAGGTCGAGGCTGTGGTGGCTGTGAGCGTGCTACTGCACTCCAGCTTGGGTGACAGAATGAGACTCCACCTCAAAAAAAGTTGGTCAGAAAGCTGACCTTGGCTGGGCATGGTGACTCACGCCTGTAATCCTGGCACTTTGTGAGACTGAGGCAGGAGAATTGCTGTGGTCGGGAGTTCAAGACCAGCCTGGGCAACAGAGCAAGACACTGTCTCTACAAAAAAATTAAAAATTATATTTTTGAGCAGAGTCTCACTCTTGCCCAGGCTGGAGTATAGTGGCACACTCACGGCCATTGCAGCCTCGACCCGCTGAGATCAAGCGATCCTTCTGCCTCAGCCTTCCAAGTAGCTGGAACTTCAGGCATGTGCCACCACGCCCAGCTAATTTTTTTGACTTACTATAAAGATGAGGTCTCTCCATGTTGGCCAGGCTGATCTTGAACGCTTGGGCTCAGGTAGTCCTCTCGCCTCTGCCTCCCAAAGCGCTGATTACAGGTGTGAGCCACTGTGCCTGGCTTAAAAAAATTAAAAATTAAAAAAAAAAATGGGCACAGTGGCTCATGGCAACTTGGCGAGACCTTGTCTCTACAATAAATCAAAAAGGTTGGACGTAGTAGTGGGCACCTGTGGTTTCAACTACTTGGAAGGCTGAGGCAGGAGGATCACCTGAGCCCAGCAGGTCAAGGCTGTGGTGGCCATGAGTGTCCCACTGCACCCCAGTCTGGGTGACAGAGTGAGACTCTGACTCAAAGAGAAAAAAAAAAAAGCTGGCTTCAGAACTATTCCTGAGTGAACAAGATGAAAGGGTAGATAGACTGGGAGAGGGGGCTTCCGAGGCCTTATCTGTTCCCAGTGACACCATACTTCCCAGCCAGGTCCTAACCCCCACACCTCACTCACTTCCTTAACAGCCAGATGGGCAATTTCTCATTTCCATTTTTATTGAAATACAAAAAGCGCAAATGGTGAAATACATGATTGGTGCCAAGAAAGTCATTAAGTGTGAATGTGAACGCTGGAGTCACAGTACAAGTGCCCCCGGGTATACACCAGTGGGGCAGAAGACAGGATAAAGACCAAATAGATCCAAAAGGCTCCCTAGCAACTGGGGCTGTGAGCGACACTTGATATACAAAGGAGGACAGAAAGCAGAGTATCCCGGCACAGGCTAGAGACACAGGGGCTGACCAAGAACCAGCAACAGCCCCTGCCCCAGGAGTCCAGACACACCACCAGTGGTTTGGGGAGAAAGCCCAGTGAGGTCGGTTCCAGGCCCGCCTCAACTGGGAGATGAGGCTGGCCTGGTCAGTGGGGATCCTTACAGTACAGGCTCTGGAATGGCCCTGCCTGGCCAAGGCTGTAGCAGCAGAGTCACTGCAGGTATTTCCTGCTACTAGGGGACAAGGCTGCAGGCAGGAGGGGTCCCCAAGGTTCCGCCAGAAAAGAGTGTCGTTTTCTTTCATTTTTTTTTGAGTTGGAGTCTCACTCTGTTGCCCAGACTGGAGTGCAGTGGCACGCTCACGGCCCCACAGCCTCAATCTGCTGGGCTCAGGTGATCCTTCCCCTAGACTTCCAAGTAGCTGGAACTACAGGCATATGCCACCATACCCGGAGAATCTTTTTATTTACTGCAGAGATGAGGTCTCACCAAGTTGCCCAGGCTGGTTTCAAACCCGTGGGCTCAGGCAATCCTCTCACCTCGGCTTCCCAAAGTGCTGGGATTATAGGCGTGAGCCACCATGCCCAGCTGAAAGAGTGTAGTTCTAAGGGACACAGCTGGAATGAGAGATATCAACCATCATTTGGGTCCAGGCTTTCTGAAAAACAACAGGTCCCAAACTCCCTTGGGGAGATTGCTAGAACCCACCTGTCAGGGGCTGATCTCTGCCCCTCCTGTGGGCACTCAGCCTCTGCCCAGCCCCTTTAAGTCTCCCAGCTAGAGGAAGGAGCCACCACAGATTGAGGCACTGAGTCACCTCTGGCCAGAGCAGGGACCACTGTGACTCCCCAACAGACAGGTTCACAGAGCCTGCAGGCCGAGGATCTGTCCACGTGGGAAAGGAGGTGAGGCTGGAGGGGCCGCCAGTGCGATCCCATTAGACACAGGGCTCCAGGGCTGGGGTGCAGGCAGGTCTGTTGCAAATGGATGCTGGGGCTCTGGGTCCTGTCATCTCAGCTGCCAGGCCTGGCAGAACCAGGGGGTCAGGACACCCTGGGGGCAGTACCAGGGGAAAGCCTGGCCCAGGATGGAAGAGGAGGGGGAGGCAAAGAGGAAGCAGGCTCCAGCCTTGTCATTCCTTCTTCAACTATGGAAATCCCCAAGGCTGAGTGGACAGGGTGGGACGGGAGCAGGGTGCTAACATTCAAGCCTTCACAGCTGTGGACTTCTAAAAAGCAGGGCAACAGACCCAGACAGGGAGGCGCCTCGGTGTAGTGGTGGCGAAGGGGTGGGGTGGGTACAGAGAGGTTCAGATGTTCACTTCCCCTGCAATCAGGTGGCAGTGATTTTGTTATCCCCAGCAGCCAGTGAGGCAGAGGCAGAAAAAGGAGAGGGGTTACTGGGGTTCAGCCCTCCTCCAGCTGGAAGAGCCAGGCCCGGCTCTGGCAAGCCCAGCAGGAACCAGGGATCCAGAGAGGCAGTGAGAAGTATAAGGCGAAGAAAAATGTCTTATGGTAACAGTGAGACCACCAGGGCCAGTGAGGCGGGCTTCACAGAAGGGGAGGGGAAGCTGTCTGGTTGGCAGCTCCAGCGTCTACCTCCAGGGGCTTCGTGGCCCCTTCCTGGGCAGGAGCCCCGGGGTCCTGTAAGGCTGATGCCAGGAAGAGTCCACATGGGGCTACCAGAGAAGGGAACTGATGGGGGAGGGAGGCCTGGACTCAGAGCCCTCTGGGGTCTGCACTAGGGAACAACTCCCCTTGGTGATCCAGGAGGAACTTGGTGAAGGTGTTGATGGGATTAATGGCCTTGAGGGTGATGGCAGCATCCTTGGCCCATAGCAGGTTAGGACCGAAGACAACAGCCAGGTTAGTGTTGGTCATCTTATTCTGGTCACTGTGGGCAGAAATCTGTGGAGGGAAGCGGGGGCCGCTGCTGGCAACCACAGACACTGCCTTCCACTCCCAGCATCTGTGATGGGTTGCAGAAGGCAGCTCCAGCTCGCCCACCCTCGCCGCCAGGTGAGTGGCAGGGCGGGGCTCGGTCTCACCTGCACCAGGAAGGCAGTCAGGAAATGAAGCACCTGGTAGTTCTCCTCAGGCAGTGTCTGGAGGACCTGCAGTGTCACCTCCACCCTCTGACTCTCATCAATGTCTATGAGGAAAAGTGCCCTGGGTTACAGGGGTCCTGGGCTGGGCAGGTTCAGGAAGCCCTGACACAGGCCAGAATGGAGACCCCGACCAGACTTTCCTTGGAGATGCCCAGGTCTGCAAGCCTACAGAGCAAGGCGGGTGGACGAACGCCAACACACCTGCTCCACGTCCTGCCCTGGATCTGGCAGAAGACATGCACAGCTGGGGAGAGAGGAGAGGGCCACTCACTGAGGAAGCCCACCACGTGGGGGTAGAGGTCAAAGGTTAGTAGAGGCTCAGGGAGCTCCCGAAGGAAGGTCTTGAGGATGACCGCTGGCAGGTGCAGCTCATTGTACTGGTCGAAGTCCACAGGCAGCCCTGGGGTGGAGAAGGCAGCGTGAAAGGTGCTTGGCCAGGTGGAAGGCCCAGCTGGAGACCAACCACTGCCCGACTCTGCCCTCAGACACTACATAAGCTCCTGCTCCCAGGGAGTGTCCCTCTGCAACTGCCTCCCCTCTTCCTCTGTGACAAGGGGATGCAGGTTCCCACCATCTGGGTGGGATGGGGTCCCCAGGACACACCACAGTTACTCCTTGCCTCTGAATGAGCCTGAGCTCAGGGCCTAGGAGCGTGACTGATGGGACAGCCAGGCAGAAGTGGAACCTACATAGTGACACCAAGTACCACAGAAACCTCAGAGGAAGAGGATCTAGGACCCTTGTTTATAGGAAAGTAGGCAGAGAAGCCCCCTCACAGTCACCACATGCCCCCTGCCACACATACACACATGTAGACACAATCTTGCTGGCTCTGTGGCCCGGCACAGCCCCAGCCTACTCACCCATGTTGTACTTCTGCTGCACTTCCCGGACAACTTGGGTGTTGGCTGACCTCCGGAAAATCCCCTCGGTGCTGAGAGCTGGGCAACAGCGGGGCTGGTGAGTCTCTGAGCTCGGGGCACTGGGTAGATTCCCAGCCCAGTCACTGTTTTAGGGTTCTAGGCGGGGTTGGGGGTGGGGGTGCTGAAGCACACAGGCCCCCTCTCAGCCCTGCCCAGCAGCTTCCCGAGGGGAGCTGAGAGACCCAGCTGAGGAGGCGGGGGCCAGCACTCACCGTGGGCCTGTAAGTAGGCCACGGTCTCCCTGAGCACAACCGGGATGGGGTCCTGCTCTGGGTTCTTCTCCTGGAGGCTGCGGGAACAAGGGCAGTGAGCGGGTCTGCTGCCCTTCCTGCCCCAGCAGCCAGGCCCAAGCCGCCCAGCTTTCGCATACTCACTGCTGCAGCGAGACCCCAAATTGCTGGTTGGGCAGGGGCGGCCTTGGTGGCATGGGCTTGGGGGCGGTCGCGGGGGTCTTCTGTGTGGATTTGATGAAGTCATCATACCTGCGGAAGCAGATGGGAGGAGGGTCAGGACCCCTGCCTGTCTCTGGAGTCGCCATGGCAAACAGTATGGGGCATTCACTGCGCCGTTTTACACTTTTTTTTGAGCAAGTCGGAGTTTATTAGAAGACAGGAAAGCTCTCTGCAGCGAGAGGGGTCCTAAAAGCGGGTTGCCGCTGTTTTACACATACTAATAATGATGTTTTACACATCAGTCTCATGACAACTTTACACATGACAAAACAAAGACTCTGAGGCAATCCAGTCATCACTTTTAAGTGACAGAAATGGGATTGGAACTCACTGGGACTGGCACCCTTGCACTCTCTGAATTGTGACGCTCACCTCCTTCAGTCACCCAAGTCGTGAGGCTTCCCCGCCCCCAGGCCACCTCCCTGCACATATAAGCCGCCCCACCCTGCCTCACTTGAGCACTTGGCGAGGGATCCCCAGCTGTTCCAGCTTCACATGCTCACTCAGTTCACTCAGGTAGTTCACGTAGAAGATCTTCCGGCCAAACTTGAAGCTGCCAGGGAGGAAAGGGCCTGGGTGGGGGTTGGGGGATGGGCCGGCCTCGGCAGGCCTCCACACGCCCCTCAACGGCCGGTCGATTTCCCGCAGAGGCCTAGCCCCACACTGGGGGTCCCCAGGCTGTCTGGCCCCCTGGAGTCTGGCTTTGGGGCTCCAGGGGGGCACCCGCCCGCCCTCAGCCCGCTCACCTGATGAGGGGCTTGAAGAGGATGAGCAAGGTTTTGATGAACATGGTGGGGTGCACGATGTACAGGGCCTTGATGTTCTTCTTGTACCTGTGCAGGCAGGATGGGCGGCTCAGGGGCGGGTGTGGCAGGAGAGACACAGAGCTGGGGTCTTGATGCACAATTTTTTCTTTTTTTCTGAGTTGGAGTCTCACTCCGTCACCCAGGCTGGAACGCAGTGGCACGCTCACGGCCATCCCAGTGTCGACTTGCTGGGCTCTGGCAATCCTTTCGCTTCAGCCTTCCAAGAAGCCAGAACTACAGGCGCGTGCTACCACACCTGGCTAATTTTTGATTTGTTGTAGAGACGAGGTCTCACAAGTTGCCTGGGCTGGTCTCGAACCCGCGGGCTCAGGCAATCCACTTGCCTCGCCCCCCCCCCCGCCCCGGGATTACAGGTTGAGCCACCAAGCCCGGCCTTGATGCACAATTTCTGATTTGAACACTCATGGCCAGCGTGTGAGGTAAGTGCCACTGCTGCTCCATTTTACAGATTAGTAAACAGGAGGCTCCCAGAGTCAAGGAACACAAAAGATTCCAGCGCAAATAAGCAGAAAAACGTTTTGACTTCAGATTCCTTCTGCTTACCCAGGTGGGGATGCCTGCCTCCCCTGGCATAGAATATGCTCCCACCCAATTGTAGGGCAGCCCAGAACCTGGCAGAGCTGCTGGCCCTGGATCCCATCCCATGCCCCAACCCACTTGCGGTCAAACTCCCGGTAGGCGTCCCGGAGCCAGCTGAGGGAAGGCTTGTTTTCGCTGGTCAGGCCATGGTGCAAATAGAGCAGTGTGTAGTCACTCTCCACATACTGGTCCAGGGTGTGTTTCAGGTACCTTCCAGAGAAAAGCCCTGCTCAGGTCTGCCCTGTGCACAAGTGTGGTCCCATTAAGACAGAAACCGGCCCAGGAGTCTCCTGCTGTGTCCTGTCCCCTCCCAGGGCTGTCCTGGCTGTATAATCAGTCACTGTGTCCCTGTGGAAGAGGTACAGGGAGGGGCTGGGCAGGAGAATAATAATAATAACAGCTCTCATTTTCGAGCACAGACTAGAAGGCAGGGGATCAGGACTCTAACCCCAGCTCTCTCATGTCCGTGCAGTAAAAATGGGAATGACCTTTCCCTCACTGGCTTCCCTGAGCCAAGAATATGATGACAGGCACCATTTAGTGACCTTAAAGCACTTCACATATATTATCTCATTCTTTCCTCATAACAGAGGCTGATGTTATCTTCATTTTACACATGCGGGCAATGACCAGGGCCAAGTGCTGATCCAAGGTCACACAGGTTTTGGAAGAGCCTGGGTTGAAGTGTCTAATTCCAAAGCCTGCATTCTTGATCGTGGCACAGCTCTGTCTTTCACACATGAACTCAAGTGCTGGCTGTAAAACACTGTGCCCGTGAAAGGTGATGGGGTAGCCAGAAAGTCATCTGCTCTAGGCAACAGGTACTTTTAGTGAAACAAAAAGCCCCGTTTCCTCAGGTGCCCCACGCTGGCCACATGACATCTACCATCTCGACACAAACCCATACACACTTGATGTTGAGCACATTGAGAAGTATGGATGGAATGAACAGGAATTCAAGGAGGGGTGGGGAGTCCAGTGTAAAGCCGTCTTTCTGGTTGGCCAACCAGCCCTCAGGCTCCTGCAGGGACACCACTCCACACTGGAGACTGGGCAGGCAGAAGGCCAAGGACTTCCACGGGAAGGCGAGGAAGGAAGGATGCTGGGGGAGGTGCCCAGACACGTGACCTAACTCAGAGAGGGTAACCCAGAGTCTGGCCCATACGTGCTGGGCTGGGCCATCATGGGCAGCAGGTGGTGTGTCTAGTGCTGGGTGATCACTGATGCTCACTGTTATAAAGAACACAATCATTTACTGATCTACACACTGAGCACACTGCAGTTTACACAGAGCTGTTACAGCTATAAAAATAGCAGACTGGGTACAGTGGCTTACGCTTGTATCCCCAGAACTTTGGGAGGCTGAGGTGGGAGGAATGCTTGGACCCAGGAATTCGAGGCTGGCCTTGTCAACATAGCAAGATCTCATCTTTACAAAAAATCAACAACTAGCCAGGTGTGGTGGCATGTGCCTGTAGTCCCAGCTATTCAGGAAGCTGAGGTGGAAGGATTGGCTGAGCCCAAAAGGTCGAGGCTGCAGTGAGCCATGATCCTGCTACTGCTTTCCAGTCTGGGCAACAAAGTGAGACTTCGACCTCCAAAATAAGATCGTAGTGAAAACAGACACTTTCATCCACTGATGGAGGTCATGACCTCTTGAAAGGCAATAAAGCAATGTTTATCAGAAGCTATAAAATAGTCATACTAGGGTACAGGGGCTCATGCCTATAATCCCAGCACTTTGGGAGGCCGAGGTGAGAGGATTGCTTGAGCCCACATATTCAAGACCAGACTGGGCAACTTGGCGAGACATCATCTCTATAATAAATGGTGGCACACGCCTATAGTTCCAGCTACTTGGAAGGCTGAGACGGAAGGATCGCCTGAGTTCAGCAGGTTGAGGCTGCAGTGGCCATGAGCTCCAGCTTGGGCAACAGAATGAGACTTCAACTCAAAAAAATAAAAAAATAAAACCAAAAAAAGTTCATATTCTTTGACCTTGTAAAAATATGTCAGGGATTTATCCTAAGGGAATAACTGGAGATGAACAGAAACCCTTTTGTAGAAAGTTGTTTATCATAACCTGTTTTATGATGAAAAAAGATTGAACAGCAGGGAATTGGTTAAATAGATCACGGGACACCCATGAATAGAAACCTCACAGGATGTTTCTGCAGACAGAACTAATCTATGAAGTCAGATGTCAGAGTAGTGGTAGCCCTTTGTGGGGTGTGAGTGACACAGATATGTTCAGTTTTTGAAAATTCATCACAAAGTACACTTATAATTTGTTCACGTTTCTGTATGCAAATTAGATATCAACAAAATATTTCTTTTTTTTTTTTTAAGTTGGACTCTCCCTCTGTGCCCAGGCTGGAGTGCAGTGGCATGCTCACAGTCACTGCAGCCTCAACCTGCTGGGCTCAGGTGATCTCTCCACCTCAGCCTTCCAAGTAGCTGGAGCTATAGGCATGCATCACCCTATCTGGCTAATTTTTTGATTTATTGTAGAGATGAGGTCTCACCAAGTTGCCCAGGCTGGTCTTGAACCTGTGGGCTCTTGTAATCCACTCACCTAGGCCTCCCAAGGTGCTGGGATTATAGGCATGAGCCATCACACCTGGCCTAAGAAAATGTTTCTTTTCTTTTCTTTTTTTTTGAGTTAGAGTCTCATTCTTTGTCGCCCAGGCTGGAGTGCAGTGCTCATGGCCACTGCAGTCTCCATCTGCTGGGTTTATGCGATCCTTCCGTCTTAGCCTTCCAAGTAGTTGGAACTACAGACGCACACCACCATACCCGGCTACTTTTTGTGATTTACTGGAGAAATGAGGTCTCACCAAGATGTCCAGGCTGGTCTCAAACCCTTGGGCTCAGGCAATCCTCTCACCTCGGCCTCCCAAAGTGCTGGGATTACAAGCACAAAATGTTTCTTAAAGGATGTCTTTGAAGAAAGTTTAATGCTCTGAAGATCAAAATGTTATGTGGGATATGAAACTGACTACAGAGATCCATATATGTTATGAAAAAAGTGACTTCAAAATATTCGCAGTACTTTTCTCTCTGGGTGGTAGGTTTCTGGGAGACTTTTTTTTTTTTTTTTTATAATTGTCTGTATTTCTTTTTTTTTTGAGTTGGAGTCTCACTCAGTCGCCCAGACTGGAGTGCAGTGGCCGCTCCCGGCCACCGCAGCCTCGACCTGCTGGGCTCCGGCGATCCTTCCGCCTCAGCCTTCTGAGTAGCCGGAATTACAGGCATGCGCTACCACGCCCGGCTGATT